CCCAAACAGGAAATTAGTAGAAACATGGAAACCAAAGAAACGAATTCAACAAAAGTCAATCATGCATCACATCACAGAACTAATGGAGAGCCACCATCTACCACAAAACAGAAAAGAAACCGAAAGAGTCAACCAAAACATCCCTCCCCACCTTTCTTTAAAAAAGCCAATCATTACAACTTCTCTCAAAGACAAGAGCACAAAATCTTCAGACCCAATGACGCTGGTGCTTGCATCACATCAAACAATCGATAGCTATTCAGATGACTGGATACACGTCTATACGGACGGCTCAGCATTCAAAGGCACAACCAAAGCCGGATATGGAATACTAATACAGTACCCAGATGGAAGTTCCAATGAGATCTCTGCAGCCTGTGGAGAGAAAAGCAAAGGAGGCTATTTTTACCTCTTGCATTTACCAAAAGCTTGTTCTATTTTCCGTAAGGTCGTGGGTTCGAATCCCGTCAGGGGCCCGACGTTGTGTCCTTGGGAAAGGCACTTTGCACAAATTTTCCTCACTTCACCCAGGTGGAAATGGGTACCCTGCTATAGACAGTGAACGATCTTGTCAGTTTGATAGTGTTTGAGCGCGTGAAATCCGCAGCTTGCACTGTATGCTTCCGCGGAAGCCGAGAATGTTTCTGAGTGTTCTCAGAGGGTCTGCTGGGGTAATAATGGTTGTAAAGCGCATAGAGCATGCTCTTGAGCATGGATATGCGCTATATAAATGCAATTATTATTATTATTATTAATGCAGCAACTACGATGCAGAAATGATGGCAATTGAAACAGCACTGTACCATCTCCGCACAGTTTTTGACACTCATCCTGGAAAAGCACAGAGTGTTGTGATTTTCACTGACTCACTATCAGTCTTACAAGCCATAGAAAATGACCATCATCTAAACCAAGATTTGACCCATATACTGTTTGGATCCCATCATCTGATAACATCCTGTGGCATCAACCTAGTAATGCAGTGGGTCCCCGGACACTCAAACATACCTGGAAATGACAGAGCAGACACACTTGCCAAACGGGGATCTAGACAGGAACAACCCAACACTCCAACTTCATACAACACTGCAAAACAAATCTTCAAAAGCAACAACAAACAAGATTGGATGAACGGATGGGCCCTGGGAAAGACAGGCAGAGCAGTTTTCAAACATATGACCACAACAAAAAGGAATGAGAATATCAACCGCCTTCAGAGAAAGAAACTGACCACGATTTTCCGCCTACGAACAGAAAATATACAACTCAACTTCCATCTGAACAGAATAAACCCGGAACTTCCCCCAATGTGTCCCTTGTGTGACTATGCATATGAGACTGTGGAGCATCACCTGTTCCACTGCACAGCCCTAAATGACATCAGAGCTACCCTTCTCCCTCCGAGACCTAACATTGACAACACACTCTATGGAACATTACAGCAACTGCAGCAAACCTGCACTTATCACTACATGGCATTGGACAGAAGGGTGAGAGCCCAGCTGTTGCTGGATCGATAACAACAACAACAACAACTCTTGGGCAAGCTATTCATATTTTACAATGAATAGAGTTAAAGACTGAAGGATTTTGTTTGGAGATCGATAGGTTTGTGGACTAGAGTTTACAAAAACATTTTTCTTGAAGTTGAAGATAAGGCTTGGTCAGTTCTGTTTGCACTTCCTTTACAGATCTGCTGTTGACTGTTTTAACCCCCCCCGTGCTTGCATTGCATTACAACAGTCTTTCACTTGTATATAATTTGTATTTACTTGGAGGAGAAAGGGGGTGGGGGAAGGACCAATGATCCATGTTATGTACATGATAGAGTTCTGTATGTGTCATCATTTTGTGATTATGTATTTGTTCATGTAGTAAAACTCTTTCTTTTCCACGTGTACTTCTGACTGTGATTTGTTTGTATCAGTCCCTTTCTCTTTTAAAGATCTGATTTGTAATGGGTTTTCACAGGTCGAGGTGGAGCTTCCATATACGGCAAGTTCTTTGAGGATGAATTCACAGAAGACTTAAAGCACACAGGTGAGATATTTTTTCTATAACTTTGCTGATAAAGTAGGCCAACTCAAACTCAAAGTAACCTTAGTTTCAGTAAGAGTTTTATGCCTTTAACTGACGACACAATTAGGTCATATAGGTGCCGTAGATGAGAGGTGTTACAAGAGAGTAACATACTAAAAAAGGAAGCAGGAGAGATAAAGGCGATACACATTTGATAGGAAAGAAAGAACAAACCACCCCAAAGCACCCGCCAACCACCCACTACTTTGAATCATCTTTGAACAATGTGGGAAAACATTGTCTTGTTGTATTGGCCCGTATTACAAGGCACACTAGATCTAGCTATACAATGTGTTAGGAATGGAGGATGGGCCTTGTGCTTCGCGTCAGATGGAGAGAAAGGAGAAAAATTCTTCACTTTTGGGGCCGTTAATTGCTTTTATTTGGTTATTGCGACCTCGAGGAAAGCGACTTTGGTCTGTTTGCAATCTCGTTGGAGCTGACATTCATTAAAAATATATATATAGAGGAAAAAATTGGGGATTGCCTTGTTGGGGCTGACTTCTCGTTGAATGTGACACCTACTGTATTATGTTTTACACACATGATACATGTCCAGTAATTTTAAAATCGATCTTTTTATGAATATATAATGCGCATTGAGCATTTTTTAGGAAATGGAAATGCGCAGCATAAATGCTGTTTTTTATTATTATTATTTCTGTCCTTTAGACTCTTGTGTTGCTTTTCTCCTTGTTAAGGTGCTGGCATTCTGTCAATGGCAAACAGCGGACCCTGTTCTAACGGAAGTCAGTTTTTCTTCACGTTGGCTCCCACCCAATGGCTTGACGGAAAGCACACAATTTTTGGCCGCGTGAGCGGCGGGATATTGGTGGTGCAGAGGATCGGCATGGTGGAGACGGACGAAACTGATCGGCCTGTGGACTCCATCAAGATCATCAAGGCCTACATCACCCCCACGTGATGCTCACACTCGCACGCTCATTCATTGTCATTGTTGCTGATCATTTTTATCATTGTGTTCCAATAAACTACAACGCATTGCAAATCTGCTTTTGATTTTTATTGAGAATCTAACTGCTTCAATCTTTTTCAATATGGCACTGGGCTGAAGGCTTAGATGGTCACCTCCAAAAGTTTGTGTTGTTGGCATTACAAGGGGTTTGGGTGAGTCTGGTCAAAGATCGTACTTAACAAGATAGTTCACTCAGCCAAAAGAGTGTCCGCGGAAGTCCGCACATTGCTTCAGATGACGCTGCAGTCTTTGTTTTGAAGCTCTCTTTCGTTTCTCCAGAAGAAGGATAGGAAAAGCACAGTTTGTTAGTTTCACTTTTATTGTTTTTCACACGAGTAGGGTAACTCTGATAGGAAAGTCCGTGCTTTTTCGAAGAGGGCGCCACCGGATTTTATGGACACTTTTTTAATTGGCTCAAAGAGGAATGAAATATCCTGTTATACACCATCTTTGGTCTGGTCCAGGCATTCAGAATTTGAACCCATTTCTGAAAACAGGTTGTTTTGAGGGTTCTTTATATTTAGGGCTCTCTGACCAGTGCCTCATATGTAGTGGTTATGTGCTTGGCTGCCACATGCAGGAGACCTGAGGTCGAATCCTGAACGGGGGAAGTTTTATTGCATTGACTGGCAGGGTCGAAGCCCGCCTCCTAAATGATCTAATTTGGGTTGATGAAATAAAAATAAATTAATAGCATTTGTATAGCGCATATATCCCCACACGAAAGCAGGCTCTATGCGCTTTACACTATATTATTACCCCAGCAGACCATAGAACATTCAGAAACATTCTCAGCTTCCCGGGAAGCATACAGTGCAAGCAGCGGGTCAAGCGCTCAAACACAAACAAACTGATAAGATCTTTCACTGTCTATAGGCGGGTACCCATTTTCACCTGGGTGAAGTGGGAAAAATTCGTGTAAAGTGCCTTTCCCAAGGATACAACGTCGGGCCCGCGTCTCGAACCCCCGAACCCGCAACCTCACGATTACGAGTCAGGTAGCCTAACCCCTAGGCCACCAATGATGCCGTAAAAGTACGCTCATGAATTTTTAAAAAAGTGTTCTATTTATTAAGTTTTACGGCACTTGCAACAAAAATAGGTCAAATAAGAGTTGAAGATTAGAAGGCTTACTATTACTAGAGAGTAACAAATACACACACCAAAAAAAGGAGAGATAAGGATAGATGTTCCATAGGAAAAGGAACAGATCACAATGGTGCACCTGCCAACCACCCACAGGCGTCACCTCTCAGTCTCTGGTAACCTCAGTCAGTGCTAGACTGGACTGTAGCTCATGCTAAAAGTTTTAGTAAGGTTTTACAGTGCTCGGAACTGAATAAGTTCATAGAGCGTTGTGGGGTGGATGTCAACAGAGAAGTCCAAACGGGGAATCAGGCTTACTCTACTCTCCTCTCTAGCTTCAAGAGCTCAAAGTCTCCTTCAACTATCAAGGCACCCCGGAAATAGCAGGTCACAAGAGTGTGACAAACATACAAAAGAAGTAGAGGAAAAATGACGATAGTAAGGATGAGGAAAGGAAAAGCAACAGTTCCCCCTATGTTGTTCCGGCACAGTGTGAGTATGACATTGATAAATCAGCCAATTTACAACATGTTCACTGTGCATAAGAACATGTCAACATCCCCCCTTTGGGAATGGCCTAAAGACGTTTCAGTCAATAGCACTGCCCTGGTGGTGGTGGTGTGTGTGTGTGTGTGTGTGAGGGGGGGGGGGGGGGGGGGGGGCTCACGCTAAAAACATGTCCCTGACTCTGAATATGATGAATAATATACAGACACAACAGAAGATGCAACATTCTTTTGATTTGTTTATTGCGCACAAGGTACAACAATGGTTCATGTTATTTAAGTATTCATTTCATTCACAGACACACAGGTATTTGATTCAAACTTTACTGGCAGCAAGAAGTTGTTTGACTTCCCATAAATCCCATCAGGTCAGAAACTGCAGTCACAGCAACACACTGGATATATCTGTCCCCATGGTTTTATGCACCCCGCATAATTTAGCAAAATTTGATCATTTTTGCATAATTTCTTATTATTTTCCTTTATCATTCTTTGTTGAAATTAACAGAATCGCATAATTTCACATTTTTGGGCTCAGTTTGCATAATTTCAGAATTTTTCTTGCATAAAACGACAGGGACAGATATATTGCTAGTAAGCTGATCAAACGTACTCGGCCCAGAAAGCAATTTTTTCAGGTGATAGAAAAACCCCCCCACTTTCATTCTTTTAACAGTTGTACCGGCACCTAAACTATGTATTTTTTACTTGCTTTTTTCAATATTTAGAATTTGAATTGCAATGAAACATTTTTTGCGCATATGCAACTGAAACCAAAGATTAATTGAGAAAATGAATTAAAAAATGATTTTTTGAGAAATTCTCTGAAAGTTTCAAAGAGATCTTTGTACTAGAAGTATTCTAAAATGTGAAAAATACAACCCCGGGGGTACAAAATGAACCCAGGGCGTACGGATAGGGTAAAAAATATCGTGGCCCAGTACATTTGAACAGCTGGCCCACGATATGTCAATGTACCTGAACTGTGTTCTCTCCAAAATCACCGGAAGTGCTAACTGCTATGCTATTTATTCTTTCATCCAAAATAAAACAAATAAGCAGCCAAGTCTTCAACATACAGTACAGTCAATGGAATGATGAATTCAAGGGTCATATCCAATAGTCAATTAAAAAAAAGTTTTAGTCGAGGTTTTACGGCGCTCGCAACTGCATATAAGTATAAGGTCATGTGAGCGCCAGAATCCAATAGTCCATTGGAAATTTTTCATTTAAGCTGAGCTTGCACACGTGTGCTGTGTATAGACTATCGAGTCTGCTAGGGTAATTATACAGACTGTAACGCACATAGAGCTTGCTGTTGAGCAGAGCTTATATGCGTGATACAAATGGTCGATTTTAAGCACAAGCGGGCTATCCCGAAAAATGCTGTTTTGAGAAAATCAAAGTCAGTTTTTGGATTCTTATTCAGTCTCTTAAAAAGACAAGGAGAGTTTTCTCTATAACCAAACAAATATACACACCAATGAAACCAAACTTCTCCTATAGGTAGGGCAATGCCAACTTTTGGTGTAGGTCAAGATTTCTGGAAACCCCCGAAATCTGGGCTTGCCCGCTTGTCCTTTTAAAAGTGACCAAATGCTATTTATTATTATGGATTGTAATAGGCCAGACAAGTTTCACTTTCATTCCACTTAGGTCTGAGCTGTGTTCAATTTTCTGTTGCTGGCATTGAAACATAGACTAGAGTAAACACCAACAGCGGATTACTACCAAAAAAAAATTTAAAAAATGATACTGCATCTTTTAAAAAGATCGCTGACATACCTCCCCTCTCAAATGTACTTTTATTCAATTTTCCCAGTAAATAGTGTAAATCTTTTGCTACCTGCTATTTTCACTGACAACGGTATACTATATGATGTCGATCTAGCCAATGAAAATGAAATTGTAACGTCACTGAATGAGCCTCTTTTTCACACCATAAAGTTTCAGCACACAGCACACATCATACACTGCATAATATATATGTACCGTGCCCTGTTTCACTCATTTCACCCTCCAAGAGTTATAGATATTTCTGTCCCCGTGGTTTTATGCACCCCGCATAAAACAACGGGGACAGATATTTGGTATTGCGTTCATCATGTGTTTTGGGCTTCTACGACCCTCCATACTAGTTCAAACACACCATTTTATCACATTCACATCACAGAATTTTTCAGACACGTGGAGGATTAACTCATCGAGCATCACAACAAATATTTTCATACACATCTCAGACAATGAACATGAAGCTCCATTTGATAGCTTCAGATGAAGACGAAACAAAATAATGGCACATCTCCCAAATGAGGCTGTCATTCCGTCATCCTAACTGTGCATTAAGACCAAAGATCTGCATCTGTCCAACCATTTAAGGGGATCCACTGGTCAGATCAGTAAAAATTTTGAAAAAATATCAGTTTTCGGATTTTGGTGTATCTTAATAGATATCAATATCAAGGACTCATCTTTAGAAGCCTAATTCCTCTATCAAACTTATAAATAGCTGGAAAATGCATTTAAGAGAGGCAGCAATGTAGGAAAATCTTCACCAAAAATTATCTCTCTTTGCAGTTTTCTCAGAATTGTTTATCTGACCAGGTAGCAACACTATATTGAGTAGATCTCAGAAAGTTACTGTCAGAATTGTTTCAAATTTGGACACAATCTTTTATACACATTACTCTATAACTTTACAGGAGCATTTTTGCTGTTTATGGAACACATTTGGAGTTTTAGGCCTGTTTTATTTGACAAAATCTTAAAACATTGGAGACCTGAATGTGGTGCACAGCAAGGACTGTAAGGCTCACAAGTCAGTACAGAACATTCACATTTGGCTCTGTAAGGTTGTTCTACCTACCAACAGTAATCGCCATGCCAAATATTAGGCTTCTATCTTGATGAGTGTTGATGATTGACAAAATATAAAATTGGTTTTAAAAATGCTGAATCAATCCTTTATTTTTGATGGCTCGAGATTATTATGGCAGAAATCTTGAATTTTTTGCTTGGTAACCTTTTTTTGTACTATGTCACCGCCTTTGATGCAGAAAAGCAAGCGTTAGACCAAAAACTATAGCATTTGGGTGTTGACCATAGCTACACCCCCTTAACAGACGGTAGCTTAGACACAGGGACTACTGCGAGGAGACCGTAGAACATCTTCTCCTTCACTGCACAAACCCGGCAGTTCTTTGACACAGGCTCCTACACACACCTACAGACTTACAAAGCCTGCTCCACTCTGGCGCTGACCAGATGACAAGGACATGTGGTTACTTCAGGGAGGCATTGCGCAGCCAAGAGCGAAATTCTCGAAGCTAAAAGGGTTTGAAAACAACAAACAACAACTACAACAGACGGTAGCTGACTAGGGTCATCGAGTCCATGGCACACCATGTGTTTGTTTGCTTTTTCACCTGGAGCAAACTGCAGACTGCAGTGACACAACTGTTCTTTTCTGTAATTTCTGGGGAATTGATGAACTAAGATCAAATTCTCTTATGTTTAGTTTTAGTAAAAGCTTTACGGCACTTGCAACGCAATAAGGTAATATAGGTGCCGAAGATTAGAGGTGTTACAAGAGAGTAACAAACATAAAAAAGAAGGAGGGGAGATAGAGACGATAGATGAAATTCTATTATAACACATTTGGTATCTTTCACATTAAAATCTGACCAGGAGTACGAACATGATATCAGATGTAACCATTTAAAAAAAAAAAAAAATGGTTGGGAAAAATTTAGCCTGACTGAACTTTTCCCCCTACAGGGGACTTGACGGAAGAAATGTTATGGCTGCCGAAAACCCCCCACAACAAGACGGACTCGTCAACTTCCTTCAATGGTAGGGCGCAGGACTTGAGTCTGAACACTAGCAGAGATGAGATATAAGAATTAACTCTTTGAACCCCCATCGGAGCGTCCGGTGGTAATAACCCTGTTCCTCATCGGACACTCGGAGCGTCCAGTACTAGTGACAACTGTTTCGTTTTATTTAGTGCTAGTTCTTGCTTGTTTTTCGGAACTATTCCCGAATCAAGTTTTTTAGTAATGACTAAGCCTTTGTTTCCGCTATTTAGAAGTTGGAGGCAAGCTTTTGGGGTTATAATGAGACATAGTGCACTAGGTTTAGGTGACTGTAGAAAAAAAACTCAGGGCTTAAACTTAAAGAGTTCAACTGGTCCATCTATCTGACAAAAGTAATCGGACGGATGTAGATCTTTGGTCTGAATGAGTAATCACCCCTCTCTCACATTCACACTCTGCTTTCTTTGACAATATTCATCCATTCAGGCTTGCAGGAGGTCATTTCCAGTCTGAGGCGTATTTGAAACCTTTTGCCTCCAAGTCCGCTTTTGCCTCGGCTACTTGCTGCAGACAGAAAAAAAAAAAAAAATGTAAAAACGTCATCATGTTGTATTGTGAATGAGAAAGTCAAATTTTCAAAACTGACATATGACAAGACTTTTGCTTAACCCTACCCGTACGCCCTGGGGTCATTTTGTACCCCTGGGGTTGTATTCTTAACATTTTAGAATACTTCTACTGCGAAGATCTTTTTGAAACTTTCAGTATTTCGCAAAAAATCATTTTGACAGACTGCTATGCAAAGCGTACGGATCGGATTAACAAGTAAATTTCCTCTTTGGAAAGTGGTAGTAAAACATGACGTACGGATGGATAGGGTTAAAAGATGATTGTTTCATAATTTTGAAGAAGCTGGTTTCAATAATGGTAAGGCATGAGTTCGATCCCCGTGTGGGAAGGAGTTTAATCAAGTACGTGTATGTTTATCTTTTTGTTGGGATGTTGTATCCCAATCATCTCTAGTTTAGTTTTAGTAAGTGTTTTACGGCACTTGCAACACAATAAAGTCATATAAGTGCCGAAGATTAGAGGCGTTGCAAGAGAGTAACAAACACAAAAAAGAAGGAGGGGAGATAAAGACAATAGATATTTGATAGGAAAGAAGGAGCAAACCACACCAGAGCACCCGCCAACCGCCCACAAATCATCCCTCAATAGCCTTGATGATAAACAGGGTCGAGGCAGCCCATCCCCTACATTATCACAACTGGTATAGCAGTCAAGCACACTGACTGAAGTGTCTTTAGGCCATTCCCAAAGGGGAGACATTTCTCGTTCTAATGCACAGTAGAACTGTAAAATGGGCAGATCTAACAATGTCAAGCTCATAACGGTGCCTGAACTACAACAGGAAACTGCTGCTTTTTCTTTCCTAATCCTTACTATCGGCATTTTCCTCCACTTCTTTTGTATGTTTGTCACATTCTTGTGACTGGCTATTTTCGGGGTGCCTTGATAGACGAAGCAGACTTTCAGCTGTTGAAGTGAGAGAGGTGAGCAGGGTAAGTCCGATTCCCTGTAAGGACTTCTCTATTGACATCCACCCCCTTGGCGCTCATATGACATTATGTAGTTGTAAGCGCTGTAAAACCTCTACTAAAACAACAAACAACGCAGTCAGGCACTTCTCTGTCCCATGTAGGAGACCCCACTGTGATTCCCAAGGGAGGAGAAAAATCTTTTTGAGTATCTCCGTCTCTCTGCAGGGATGCACCCCTCTCAACCTGCCTTGGCCCTGACAGGCAGGGTCAGAAGCCAGCCTCCTAAGTGATCTAAATTGTGTCGAAGCGGGCGTAAAAACACCAACATTACTCCACCCCCCCTATAAATAAGCATTTTAATTATTTACAAAACCTTCAGGAAGGTGGGTGGTTGGCGGGTGCTCTGGTGTGGTTTGCTTCTTCTTTCCTATCAAAAAATCTATCGTCCTTATCTCCTCTCCTTCTTTTTTTATGTTTGTTACTCTCTTGTAACACCTCTAATCTTCTGGCACTCATATGACCTTATGCAGTTGCGAGCGCTGTAAAACCTCTACTAAAACAAAATCAAACCGTCTGGAAGTCTGTTTCAATATGCATCTAAACTTTTTTATACGAAGGGCAAAGTCACAAGCTATTTACAACAACTGAGAAGTGGACACAACAAAGAATGAAACAATCACCTGCTTTAATTCCTCCGATGCTTCCACACAGTCGTTAAACGTCGTCACTCTGTAGCCAACAACCGCCAGCGAGAAACACTACACAGAAGACAAAAAGAAAGAAATATATGTGTCACAACACGGTGGAATTATGCGCTCGTCCATTTGTGGGCATATGGAGTTATCGGTATCATCTGAAAGATTGTTCATTTGCCTTGCTTTCGATGAAAAAAAATCTATTTACCTAGCTTAAAAGTTGAGATATTTGCGATTGAAGGAGGTGGGGTCATCTGGTTTCAGAAGTAACCAGTTTATGAGGATGCCAAGATTCAGCTGCCAGTAACTAGAAAGCGCTTCTCATGTCTTACCTGAATTCTTTTACATTTGCTCGTAGCCAAAGATATAACTCACTTTTACCATCACATTATCAAAGTTGGAAAAAATAAACTGTAAGTAAGCAAACATAGGTAGTCTTTATTAAGACTTTGTTTTAGTAAGAGTTTTTGGCACTTGCAACACAATAAGGTCATATAAAAGTGCTGAAGATTACAGGTGTTACAAGAGAGTAACAAACTCAAAAAAGGAGGAGGGGAGAGAAAGATGATAGATGTTTGACAGGAAAGAAGAAGCAAACCACACCAACCACCCGCATTAAGACTTTGATTTTGATCACGCATACTTACAGCAAAAACCATCAGTAGGTACAGCGGTAGCTGAAAACAAAAAGTATAAATAAGGAAAAATCAAGTGAAGACTAAAACTTACACTTAAAGGTCAAAGTGCTTGAAAATATTTTTAAATAAGTAAAGTTGAAATTGTACAAGATGGCTACTCATTTTAGTAGAGATTATCTTCAGACTAAGGACACAACACACAAGACTGAGACAACATATGTACAAATGTTTTAAACTAGTACAATCACCAAAATGCCAGTGTGGAGAGGCGGACCAAACTGTTGAACACACCTTTCAGCACTGCAAGACACACAGGGCCCTGAGACAGGAAACGTGGCCAACCCCACTGACGCTACAAGAGAAGCTATACGGGCCGCCAGATGAACTGAGCAGGATGGCCCAATTTATGACAGATACCAGACTTCAAGTGTGATGCGATCGAGAAGAAGATGAAGAAGAAGAAGATTTTAGTAGAGGTTTTACGGCGCTCGCAAAGTAGAACTGCATAAGGTCATATGAGAGCCAGAAGATTAGAGGTGTTACAAGAGAGTAACAAACATAAAAAAGAAGGGGAGATAAGGATGATAGATGTTTAATAGGAAAGAAGAGGCAAACCACACCAGAGCATCCACCAACCACCCACTACTACTCATTGTGAAGGAGAAAAGGAGTAGTTTTAGACAGGTGGACGTACTGGACAGTGTCATTGTAGTATAAGAAAAACGTAAGGGCTGAAGTGGAAAGTGGTCGTTGGTACAGATAATTGTCTTGGACCTGTGGCCATAAGACCAAGTTCCACTGAAAGGATGACGAATTGTGATCGACCTTGAAAAATGAGGAAAGAGTAAAGCTGAAATCACTGAGACGAGGGCCAACATTATGTTTTGAGCCTGTGCAGGACAAAAACTTGTCCAACATAAAAATAGAATCAAATATATTGGCCCTTTTGGAAATTCAAACTAACCGAGGAGGAAATATTTTCATTTCAGGCTCGAGAGTAGGCTATGCGTTTAGCCCTGAATCCTGAAAAAAACATAGCGGAAGTCTTGTATTAGCTGCTTCACATGATGAGGGATCTATTTCTTGCTAACTGACAATTGTCTAAAATATTTATGATCAAGTTATCATGATGAAATGCAATTGCAAAGAAATAATGGGTAAGGTGATTACAATTTGTTTGTAAAAAGTCATTATTCCTCCATTGCAATTTTTTTTAAAGAAAGAGAGAACGAGTCTCTTTTAAATCAGTGGACAAGAAAGGGCTGTGCACACACAAAGTCATGGGTTGACCTTTGGTAATACTATTGTGTTCTTCAAGTTAAAGGGTTCCACAGCTCATAAGGTTTCCTAGTTCTTAATCGGTCGCTTCTACTTCTAAGCACAAGTGGGCTATCCCGGAAAAAGCTGTTTTGAGAAAATCGAAGGTAAAGTTTTTGGACCCTTGTTCAGTCTCTTTAAAAGACTAGGAGAGTTTTCTCTAAAACCAAATAAATATACACACCAATGAAATCAAACTTCTCCTATAGGTAGGGCAATGCCCACTTTTCGTGTAGGTCAAGGTTTCTGGAAACCTCCAAAATCTGGGTTAGCCCGCTTGTCCTTAAAAGCAACCAATTGACAGCATGCATTAACTTGTCCTTTTTTGTCTAAATGTTTGTCCTATTTAAGGACTTATGATGGTATTTTTATTGACCACAATGGTACTGGCACAGAATATATCATTTGCAAAAGAAATGGCTGAAATAACTTACAACAAGGATGACCTCATTCATTCCGTCACTCAGGTCAGCCTTGAAGTAGCCTGCGACATATGCTAGCCACACTGACATGAATGAGCCAGCTCCTAGCAACCACTGATACAGTTTAGGAAGCTGAAAAGACAAACAATCATAAGAACAATTGTATGATACATGATTTAGTTTATTAGGAAATTAAAAGTGCTTGTATATTTCATTCATTAAGGCTAAAAAACAAAGGTAACTTGCCGTCCTGTTAGGAAATGCACATCCTTGAAAAAGAATAAATTAAAGTCACTGAAATTTAAAATTGAGCCCAAGAAGTTTTCCAACCTTTAAAATCTGATCAAAGTTCAGCTAAAGCAAAACTTGTATTGCTGGTTTCAGTAGAGTCTCCCTCTTCCTCATTATTTTTTGCAAAACCACCTCACACAAATGTACCTGTGTTCATGCATGCGTACACATACTCACACATGATATACAAAGTCAACCCGTACTAGTCACTATTCATGCATTTTAATAAATCAAAACCATGTCATATTCATTCTGAATATCTCATAATCTGTCAAAGTCAACTGCTATTCTTTTAACAAATTAGGAAACCCAATTTTCATAACTTAAATTCACAATAACAAACAGACTGAGGATATATATATAGGAGTCGAGTAAATTCAACAACAGCCTTGCCGGCTCTGACAACATGACCAAAAAGTCCCATCTGTTGTGCAGTTGAAGGGTGCTCTGGTGTGGTTTACTCTTAAAATTGTTATTATTATCACCATCATCAATATAATGCTATCATTATTAAAATCATCATTATCATTGCCATTGATAGCATTAAGTTGTTTTTTTGTTTTGATTTTGTTCTTCACTGAATGAAATATGAATATATTATACATGTGATAAATCACAAACCCTTTCATACAATTATGGAGGAAAGGATGTCGAAAAAAACAAACATTGTAAGTTGAAACTGATGTGAAGATTGAGTCTCTACATCTTTCTTTCCCTTTCTTGCAGGGATGTGACCGTCTATAAAGAGAAAAATGCAATAATTGAGCTTATACATCATATTTCCACACCTTAAGCCATGAGGAGATTGGTCTTATAGATGTAACTCTTGATAGAATGATAAAACGAAAAATTGAGATTGGGCATCTGATTTCCTCATGGAAAGACAAGGGTGGCGATCTGGGGGAGGTAGCTTCAACATTTATGTATATGTATGGATTGAAAGACCTTATCTAGCCTTTGTTCTGATCATATACGGTCAGCTGCAATGCAGGTTTCAAGGAGTGTCCTTGTGTGACATTTTTATTATTTTATAAAATATTGTATTTATTATTTAAACATTATTTTACTAAAATTACTTTTTGTCAGTGTTATTGTTCTTAGTATTATTATGATGATGGTGATGAAAATGATTATTTGCTGTAATCATTGTAGTAGGCAAATTCCAGGTTAAAAATCAGAGATACTGGTTGGTTAAAAGTAGAACCAAACGGGGGGGTGATAAATTCATAGACAGGTTAAAGAAGTTAAAACAGCACCTAAACTTCGATGGCTGGTGCATCTACAAATAAATTATTGATCGTCAGGTGGTCGTCCCAAGCCTGAGTAAACGCAGAGGGCAACTTTTATTTAGCATGTAAATTGTAGTAGTCTTTAGTAGACGAATAGAAAGGAACATCGTGGTAGACAACCAAATTGGCTGATACAAAAAAATTCTCCTGCTTGCTCCATATGTATTTATAAAACAGTTAAGCACATCATGCAAAAATAAGGACAAACTATAACCACTAAAATATTTTTAAAGCAGCCAACGACAGTCCCAAGCCTGTGTAAACGCAGAGGGGGAAAAATAAGTATGTGGATTATTGTAGTAGACAAGTTTAAAAATATACACACAGTGGTATAGACCACCAAATGGACTTGCTCAAGAAAAATATTTTTCTTCTTGTATATATTATGTATGTGTAAAAGATCAGCTGACTGCATCGTTTCGGTCATATTTTAAAAAAAAGTAATACGTTATCAATTGACTCATCATGCATAAATAGCATGTTTTATTGTTACGATAAAGCAAATCTAGTTCCAATAAGATCAGATCTGGATTTGATGCACACACTTCCGTTCTGATATCAGCATCATAACTGCATTTTATAAACTAAATTTAAATTATGTTTTCCATCAATTCCCAGACAGTTCTTTATTCTGTGTTCACTAGAAAAAATAAATGCGACGGTTTTGCGAACTAAGAATGAAAAATTATACAACATTCGTGGACTGCAGTACGGTAGCTGCTTTAAAAAAATAAAAACATGACAAAATTGTAAATGAATGACTATCTATAAAGTTGAAGCTCTATCATCATTCTTTCCAGTGACACCAAATAGTTTGTTCTATGTTGATTAGAACTAGAGATATATGACGTTTAGTTTACAGATCAAGTTTAGTCACATTTAATTTGCACAAATTAATTAACATACTTGGACTCATTCTTTACCTTCTGCGCCCCCTAAAGTTTTATTTCATCATTTCATTACTTTGATGGTTAACTTAAGGCAAAAACTATACAATATTTTTAAACTATCGCTAGTTCATACACTTTAAAAGGTTTTGCTTCAACATTTAGATAACGAGTTCAGATATTATCGTAACTATCAGTGATATATATATGCCCTTTTCAGTTAATTTGCATAAATATATATCAAGAAGTTAACATAAATATTTAATGATCGCCTGCTCGTACACTTTATAAAGTTTCATCTCATCATTTCGATCATTTTGATGTTGGGGTTTTATTAAGAGGTTTACAGAAAATAATTAAATTAAGACCAACGATACAAATTTTTGTTATTTAAAGATAAATTTAAACCACATTTAATTTGCATTCGTGAACATATCACTTATTCACATTCATTACTTTGTACGCCTCCCAAAGTTTTATTTCAACAATCTATTATTCTGATATCCTATATCTCATCATTGGGTTTTTATTCTAATTATTGTCAGCCTAAATACATGTAGGCCTACTGCAAATTGTCCTTTTTTCGCTTGACGAATCCAGTTCGCAAAAATTAACTATAATAGTTAAACGAATGCTTGCTCTTTACTTTATACTTTAAAAGGTTTCGTCTCATCATTTCAGTCGTTTTGATGTATGGATTTAGGGGTATAGTTCCATAAAATAAAAAATAACAGTGATTTGCCCTTTTAGGCTAATTTGCATAAATTAACATAAATCATAACGATCGTAATAATTAGCAACTACACTTTATCAAAGTTTCATCTCAACATTGGGGTCATTTTGAAATGGAGGTTAAGAGGTTTATTATTGTAAACTTAATAAGAATCAGAGATTAAACTTTTCTGTATACACAGATCAATTTAAATCATCTAATTTGCATAATAAATTAATATACTTGTACACATTCATTACCTTGTACGGCTCCTCAAGTCTTATTTCTACAATCCATTATTTAATCATAATGTCTGGGTCATTGTTGTTTTTAAAAATTATTTTAGGCAAAAAAACGTCAAACATGTCCTTTTTTCTCTATGAATCTGATTAATTTGCATAAATTAACAAAATATTTTAATGAATGCTTGCTCTTATACTTAAACAGGCTTCGTCACAACATTTAGGTCGTTTTGATGTATGGGTTCAGGGGTATAGTACGATAAACAACAGCGGTATGCCTTTTTCAACTTAATCAATTTTTCGGTCACAATTTTGACGTCATTTTTTTCTCTGTTTAAATAATCATTTTTGCGTTACAAAAGAAGCCATGGCGATTGTTAAGATTCCCGCGTTTAATTCCGATGTGCGTTTTTCATACCCTCAGGCATATTTCGCTTTGGTCCCTAACCTTAACCCTAACCCTAACCCTAACCCTAACCCTGGCCCTAACCCTAACCCTAACCTAGGGTTAGGGACCAAAGCGAAATATGCCTGAGGGTATGAAAAACGCACACATCGGAATTAAGGCCACCTCTATTCTCACCCGGAGTGAGAATAGTGCAGGCGAGTCTTGTGGCTATTCTCACCCGGTGCGCGTTCACCCTAAACCACAAAATTCTACACTGTGATAACAGAAAAATTGTAGAATTCTGTGCCGTGAACAAACGTTCCATTACAATTGTAGCCTACTAAAAGCGAACAGTTTTGTCTGTGGGCAGTGGAGAGAGAGAGAGAAAGAGAGAGAGGAGTAGCGCGAGAATTTCCGGGCAAAACAAAATGGCGACCCGCGTAGTTCGGCTCGATTTGAAAAGTTAAATAGCCGTAGCATCTTTGTAGACAACCAAATTTATTTACTTTTGTGTTTTAACATCATTTTTTAACTTTGTTTTGGTCAATTTGATCGTCCACACCGATAGACAGTATTCAGAAAGAGACGGAGAGAGAGAGAAGAGGGGAGGAGTTGATCTTGCGAGAACTTCCGGGCGGGTGAGAATAGCCACTTTCCGGAATTAAACGCGGGAATCTTAACAATCGCCGAAGCCATAACTTTAGTTCTAATTATCATAGAATGATAAATTTGGCACCACTGGAAAGCATTTCTCAAGCTGCATCCACCTATTGTAAAATTTTTCATCTGTGATAAATTTGAAATTTTCATGAGACATAACTACCTACCTCATCAACTCATTTCATTGCTACTGCATCATCTAAAAAATTTTTAACATTGTGATTCAATTGTAAAAATATAAAGGAGTACATATGCCGGTCACTTACCCCCATCACAGCTAGATTAAGATTAGCTATGCACGGACCAGACTCATCACAGTCTAACTGACGCAATTATTGATGTGGCACCGCGAGCGTGACAATGTAAACAAAAGCCGGCAGATTACCCAAACTTTTTCACGTCGAATGGGAAGCAATGTTTTTTCAACAGCTGTGAGATGAGTGGCGGAGTGGTGTCCCTTCAGGTTTTTACACGACACCTGCCGTTCATTTCGACACTCGCGACAGGCAATATTTTGCGCTTTCTAGCGTTTTTCTGTTTTGAGCAACACCACTTCCTGTCTTTTGCTATACAATCTTCATCGATGACCCCAGACGCCGCTGGGCAACTTCTCATAAACGAAACCCCACCCCTTCCTCGTCGACGAGTCAACTCCCCCTCACAAACACATTAAATTTGCCTACCACCGGCTGTTGCGTTTTCCTGCGGTGGGATCGTGTAACTGCCGTGATGTGGAAGGATAACGAAGGCTCATCAAGGGGACGTTACCATTCACGCAGCAACGTTGACACATCAATATCACAACGCATCAACATGGAATCGCTTGTTTCTAAGTACATCAGAATTGCCTCCGTGGTGGCAGCATATTGGTAAGTATTACTTTTCCGTAGAGGTTTGTGCTCTTTTATCAATCCCTCTACATTTGTGAGTTGTTTTGAAAGTGCACAGGATGCTGATACTTTCGTTTGCAGTTTCAATGAGCTCAACAAACTGCTGAGTGGGCCGCCCGCCTCTGAGATGAGGGACTTTTGCAGATTTTGTTGAAGACTTTACTCTAAGAAAACTGGTCTAAGATAGCACTCCACTCAACAGAGTGTCTAAACATAAACTGCAATTGAAAAATGTTACGTGGCAGGAGAGAGAGAGAGAGA